TTGAGTTTTAACGATAAAGATAAAATAAAAGGTGAAGTGAATAGTACCAGGATTGACCTTTTAATGTAAACATATGATTTTTCATAAAAATGAACCAAAAGCTTTTAGTTAAAGTTCCCTTAAAAATAATGAATAAATAAATCAAACCGAAAATCAATACCCCAATACTCCGAATCGAATCATTTACAAAAAATTAGAGCAAAATGTTTCGGGGTGTAGAATTCACCGGAGCATATTAGAAATACGAAACCGAGATGCAGAAAAAAGCTTGTTCGGTACTCAAAATCCAGGCTCACGTAGGTTTGGGCCAGGCTCATATGCGCTGGTGGCGCCAAGGCCCAATAAAAAAGGGTATGATCGTGAAGCTGCTCGCAGATTTTCACCTCCATTGGCAGTGGACACTGGACAGCGTCACGGACTCGGACACAAATTCGAAGGCGGCGGCAAACAGTGATGGGGTCGTCTAGTACAATGAGAGCATTAGGAGCAATTGTTCACAGATTCAGCAATGGCGTCTCCTCCAAGTCCCTTAACTCCTTGGCTCTGCACTGTACATGTCATATACCCATCTTCTTCCTCTCTTTGAATTCTGAATTTTGCTTTCGAGAGTGAATTTTTAGCTGACTTTTTGATTCAGGGAATGTTCTGCTGAGCAGAAAGTTATCGTATTCATCTGCAATTTCATCATTGCCGCCATGGGTTTTGACCCACATGCACGGCGGCGCTGCAGCGAGAAGAACCATATGGACCGTCGCTCCTCTCTGTATGGGCAGGCGTTCCAGCAAAATCGCCGGCCGAAAGGTCAGCTCTTTCGTTCTGCTGTGTAGGTTTTTATTTTCTTGCACGCCAAGTGTTTGATGAAATGCCCGTGTAATGTGTGTCAGCGTTTTGTGACTGTTTGTTGGGTTTGTTTTGAAAGTTGTGGAATTGTTACTGCAGGGGGCTCAAGATGCAAAGAAGGCAAAGCTATATAGCAGGATAGGGAAGGAAGTTGTGTCTGCGTAAGTTAGTCGCTCCGGCCTTCTTTGTATTTTGCTACTGCTGATTGCCTGATTTAGCATTGATTAAAGTCTAATCTTTGTATAAAGGCAAATGTTATCTCCTAGTCATAGTTGTTGAGAATTACACAAGTTTCATAGTTTCAACAATAGAGGGTATTTGGTATTGCGCAATGCCGGTAACTTTTCGTTGTGCCTTAATGGTGCAGTGTAAAGAAAGGCGGTCCAAGTCCTATATCGAATATGGCCCTGGCAACTGTTTTGGAGAAAGCCAAGGAGCTGGATGTACCCAAGGAAATTGTGGAGCGCAACATTAAGAAAGCATCTGAGAAAGGACAAGAAGCTTACATTGAGAAAGTATACGAGGTTGGTATCAGTGTCATCTGCTAGATCTTCGTTGGTCCTGCTTAAATGTTTTATGTTCAACATTAAGGATTTATTTTATTGGCTTGATACTTTTCTCATGTGACCTGATTTTATTGGGTGCTACTATTGTCAGGTATATGGTTTTGGTGGAGCTTGTATGGTAGTCGAGGTCTTGACTGATAAAATAAACCGGTCTGTGGCAGCAGTTAGAGAGGTGGTGAAGGACTGTGGGGCGAAGATGGCTGACTCAGGATCTGTTTTGTTCAAATTCAGGCGTGCTCGGGTTGTAAACATAAAAGCTTCAGATGTTGATAAAGATCAGCTCCTTTCCATTGCTTTAGATGCTGGTGCTGAGGATGTTATAGAACCACCAGTATATGAAGATGATACCGAAGATAATTCAGAAAGGTAATTTTCCACTAGAGCTGCGTTCCTTATGTGTTATATTTGTGTTGTAACTCAACTTTCTCTGGTTTTTTTAACTGATATATGATTTTGCTAAGTTAACGTCATCCAATTGAGTTGTGATTGCCATTGTCCAAGGTATGAGTCTTCTTGACTCACTTTGCCTGTGAGCTTACGTTTTCTGTGAAATACAAGATCTTCACTTGTGGTCAGGTCAACTTTCATGCTCATTAAATGGGAGCCTCAAGCCCATCTAGTAGTTGAACTCCATTCATACGTGTTATTGTAGGCACCTGGTTCAATCATTGAAATGTGGATATATGCATATTTTTGTGAGCACACACAGGCGTGCACACACACACACACACACCCATCATTGTGAACTATTCTCCTTTTGCTATATACGGTTCTTAACTTTATTTAATTTATTTTTTTGTTTTTTGGGTTTCTGGTAGATATTTCAAAATCGTAAGCTCATCAGAGAACTACGCAACAGTACTTTCAAAGCTACGTGAGGAAGGAGTAAGTTTTGAGACAGATAATGGTTCTGAGCTGCTTCCAATAAGCGCCATTGAGGTTTGTCTCTCCTGCATACATATGACTTTGATCTGTTACAGCCTTATAGCTGGGATTTCTTCTTCTTGTCACCATGCGAATTGTATACTGTTTCACAAACTGTCTTCATATTCACAAGTCGATTTCGAGCATTTGAGGTAAAACTACTGGTCTGTTGCAGGTAGATGATGAGGCTATGGAGTTGAACAAGGAACTTATGTCTCAATTGCTTGAACTTGATGATGTTGATGCTGTGTATACGGACCAGAAGTGATCAAAATCTCTATCTTTAGTCATCATTTCAGCAATCGAATTGAGCTCTTGGCCTTACAATATTCTTCGATCTGGTTTGTCTTTGGTATCTAACTCAATTGAAGTATGTCTGTCGAGATCACTTAAAGAGGAGAGACGGGTGCGGGGTCGTTACCTTACCATTCTGTTCTCTAGGAAGAAAATTTTGTTGTACTGTATTTTCATACTTGGGAAGTTCGAGGAAGAAGAGCATATATTGAAATGTGCTTGTTATCAGAGAACAAATAAAAGAAATCCTTGAATAACAATAGTAATGTTGGGAAATGATTTCTATTCTTCCTTTTGTAAACGGGCCTTGATTCTCCTTACTCTTTTCAATCTAACGGCTAAAAAAAAAGAGTTCATGGAAAGAAAAGCAGGGTGCGGAAATCACCTTCATAATATAGTCTTGGTAATGGAAAATGTGAATGGTGTGGCACTAAATTATACCTAGCATCTGGTAGTACATTTTTGCCGGTATATGACTGGAGGTACTGTAACCTAAACTTGTTGAGAATCGTTGTATCGACAATCAACATTGTGCTCACAAAAACTACAGTTATCGTTGTCACCCTCCCACCTTCATCTTTGTCTTCCTCTTCGTAAGCATCAATGAAATGATATGATATATACAGCAGGGCTTCCATGCACACCACCTTCAAAACAATGAAATGAATATTACAAAGTTATTTATGGTACGAGGGAAGCGAAAATTAAATTTGGGACTTCTTCCAACACTGAAAAGAGAAATACCACTTAGTCAAGAAAGGGACGTAAAATTTTGCCACCACCTCTGCACATGGCCTGCATAAACGCTTTTGACTGAGTGACATTTCATAGTGATCTGTCATAGGAAGAGAGGGAATCCAATCCGCAGTGCGTCCACCCCTACAATCGATCTGGCCTGTCACCTTCCTTTCATTCAAACCCCCTAACAAGTCACTGTACTCAAGTTTCCCCAATGTGTCCTTTAAGTTTCGGTAATGCAAACAACACGGCCATCAACGAATTTACGGTGATGCACCAAAGACGAATAGATTGGCAAGCTCGAGGAGGTAGGATAGGAGGTTATAGTGCATTGGGACTTCAGAGAATCCATGATAACGTAGCTTTTTGGTTTTTATGGCCGTCCTGTAAGCCTCGGAATTGGTTTGGCAGTGAGGCCGCCGTCTGGAGTGGAGCTTAGCTAACATTGCATAGCCGTCGAAGAGGTGCCGGAAATTGTAGCGTTCAATGTGCTAAAGACCCTGATCATTTCCTTAGGTACGTTCCTCTCTGCGTGTAATTAGTTATCCATTTTTTCTTTCTCTATGCCGAAATTATTTGGTGAACTTTAGAATAACTTATAATAATCTATGTATACCGGCTAACTGATTTCAGTAGGAACTTACCCAAAATCATATTGCACTGGCTGCCCACGGAGGCAGTTTGGTATCAGAAAATAGAAATGCACTTATGGCTCGTTTACTAACCTTTTTTCTTTTTTTCTTTATTTTTCATTTATTTATTTATTTTTTTTTCTCAGTTTTTAGTTTTTTTTTATTTAGTATGAAAATTAAAAACTTTTTTTTTTGTAACTATTTTCAGATTTCATTGAAAGCCAAAATTTGAAAACTTAAAAAATTTGCTTTCAGTTTTTGGCTTATAGTTTTTATTTTGGGTTAGGTATGTATAACTATTCTATATTTAGGGGTGATTCCAAATTGACTTAACCTTTTAAAACATTTCAAATAAGTACCTAACGTTTTGAAAAATAGACATGTTAGGCAATAAGCACATGTTACCAGTGTAAAATGATGATGTCATTAATGTTAAGTGATAACGTGGACAAAAATTGAAGTTGATCTTTACCGATCGCCATCTTTGAAGCTCTAAAACCTGAAATTGGTCTCCTTAGTCAAGTTTAACACTAAATTTGCTCACCTCATCACTTAACGGTAGTGACCTAACAAATGTTCATTTTTCAAAATGATTGGTAGTTTTTGGAATGTTTTAGAAAGTGTTGGACTAATTTGGAATCATCCTTAAAAGTTGGGTAGTTACTTGTAGTTAACCCTTTTATTTTTTTTAAAACTAAATATAATTATCAAATAAGTTATCAGTTTTAAAAAAATTAAAAACAATAACTGAAAACGAAATGATTATCAAATGAACTTCAAAATACTAATTTATTTTTCGGCCAACCAACAAATATTGATTGAGCTTTCAAATTATGGGATAAATATGTATAGTACATGTTTAACAAAAAGAAAATATATATATATATATATATATATATATAGTTTATAACTCGCAACGCTCACTTAAAACGAAAAGAAATATGAACATAGATTTTGTCACATTGTTATGCGTAGGTACAGCCTATATCTATCTGCTTACATGTCACTCATATCATATAAACGAATAGCATATTTTTGTGTACCTAGCTAACCGTGACCTACATATATATCAACGCAGTCGAAGTGGGAACATTCTTTGGCTAGCTGTAAATAACGAATGTAGAACTGATACTGGCTAGTTCATCATTTCTATGATTCTTTGGAGGGAACCCAGCATCCATGCAGTCCATATGGAAGACCATAGGGGAACTTTGCCCTAGCAATCTCTTCAAACGTTGATCCATCTAACAGCAATGCATATCCATCTCCATTTTTCTCGCTAATCATCGAGATTACAACACCTATATCATGTACACATAAATGTCTTAGAAATCATTCCAAATAAAAAGTAATAACTCTTCTTTTTTAAGTTTTCTAATTGTAAGTAATTTCTTTATAAAATTAAGGAGATGTTGATAACCATTTCATTTTCTACTTAAAAAAAAAAAAAAAAAAAAAAAAACCACTGAAAGGTGCCTTTAAGATTTTTAAAATTTGGCTTGATTTTGATTTTTAGTTTTCAAGTATGATAATCTCACCATCATCTTCTTGAGTTGCCCCGGGACGGGCAACAAAGAACGGTTCGGATGGCACTGCTCCTTCATCGTACCAATTCTTAGCTTTCTTCTCTACCAAATCAATCTGCAATTACATATATTCAAAGAATTTGAGTGAGAAACTAGCTCAAAACTGCTGATGATATAATACAACGCGGAATATGGAAGTAGTGCATGTAATTTTGTAACTTTAATTAATAATACCTTGGTGAGGGTGTTAGGGAAGTTACACGGGCGCTGAGCCCCGCAAGCATAAGCGTATCTGTATTTTTTACCCAGATAAGCAGGGTTTATGCTGCACATGTCCATCCCTCTTCCATGCTCATTTGGGTCTAGTGCTGCCTCCAATTTTCCATATGGACTCCCATCCAGTGGTATCTTGAACCTACCAACCCTGAATTTCCATCAAAAGAATAATAACAAATTAATAGCTAGCTCCAATTAGGTCACATATATGGTTAATTTTGACAGAATTTTTGTTCGAATATATTAAACATGATAAAGGATTCCCAGTCTCGCAAGATCATGTTATGTATTGATTTATATAAGACGAGTAGTCATATCATGTGCGTACTGAGCATCTGGTAGTACATCTTTGCCGGTATACAATCGAAGATTCTGAATCTTGAGCTTATCCAGAATTGTGGTGTCAGCGTTGTGCTCACAACAATCGGCAATGATAGCAGTAACCCTACCGTCCTCATCTGTCTCCTCATAAGCATTAATAAAATGGAACGTAATGTACAATGGAACTTCCACACTTGTCACCTTCAAAACAAAGGAATTGCATACAAATAATAAATCGAAAGATCAAAAAACATACTAATTAGTACACAAAATATCAGATGGGTAGTAACTTACAACGTTGCCACTAGCTTTACACATGACATGCATAAACGCCTTAGAGTCAGGGTGCCACTCAAACTTGTACAAGGGAGTGGGCTCGGCCTTGAGCAAATTCCCAGCACAATACCTCAGTGGCATTTCGGGCACAATGATGTAGTGCTCGGTCACAGGGAAAGAGTGCACCCAACCAGGAGCCGGTCCACGGCTACAATCAACCCGCCCGATCACCTTCCTCTCATTAGTACCCGGCTCCATCCTGACCGCTAAATACCCCGGCTTGATTAAATCCGGCAACAAAGTCAAAAACTCGGTATCGGTCACAATAGGATGTGCCGAGTGTATCAAACCACCCAATGTGTCACTGTACTCAAATTTTCCTAAAGTGTCCAACGTGGTCGGGTCAATCACTATTGATCCTTTCTGGGTTTCTGTGAGGCACACAACCCGACCATCACCTAGCTTAACCACTCCGGTGTTGGCGTTGTCAGTCAACGATGTACCGGAGAATAAGTTGGCTAGTTCTCCAATATAAGATAGGAAATTGGCCGGCTTAGGGACCTCAGAGAATTCACGGAAACATATTTTTTGGTTCTTCATGGCAGCTGTGTAGGCCTCGGATTCGATCTGGCGGTGGCCAGCAGTGAGGCGGCCGTCGTGGAAGTGGAGTTTGGCGAGCATGGCATAGCCGTCAAAGAGGTGGCGGAAGTTGTAGTCCCCAACGTGCCACAGCCCTGGCCCATTTCTTAGGTACGTACCTTTCTGCATGTGACATTAAGTTAATTATGAGCTAGCTATATATTCAGCAAATGTTTACCCTTTATAATAAAATGGTGCCTAATTAATTTGGATCTATTTGTCTACAAATAACTGTAGATAGAAGTATTAGAAAAATTATTAGGAATGAGACAAATAGTTGGTAATAAATAAATAGTAAAAGAAATGGACAAGGCCAACGTCATATTACATTCTTGTCGATGAATTATATAGCATTATAAAAGTAATTAAAGTCGGGAATATTTGTACTTGGCCAGCAGGCCCAGTGCCACATTTGTCCGATGCATTATGTGGCGATCGACAGTAAGTTGATTAATTCATTATCAGACTTAGTGTAGCTTAATTAATCATATACTGTCACTTAGTGCTACATTTTAGTGATATTCTTCTTTTCATTTGTGAGTGATAGATCTTAGGTTCGATTATCGTCAAAAGCAAATTTGAACTACATTATTATTAATTCAATGTTAGGTTAAGCTAACATTTCTCCGTCTCTTAATATAAATGATATCATTGTTAAAAATTAATCATATACTAGCACTAGCATTTAGCAAGAAGACACACGCGTCATCAAGGACAAATCTTCTTTCTATGTGCGTGGTAGGTGGGCCTCTCACTACGAACCAAGAAAGGTTAGAAAAGCACGATCAAATTAGTGGGAATAAGAAAAGGGTTGGTTTTTTTATACAAATTTGCGCTTTCTTCTATTTTTATTTCCTGCAAGTTTCTGAGTAAAGTTGTAAACTTACATTATTTTGGCTTACAACATCGTACCGTATTTTGATCCTTTATTTTTTATTTTTGACCTAACCCTAATATATATATATATATATATATATATATATAGATTGAGTTCTTATTGGGTGTATTTGATATTTTGAATAAAATTTTTTCTATTGTATAGCAACAGAAGATACGATGTGTTATGAATCTGAACCAATTTATCATGGTGAATCTCAAATAAATTTGTAGTTTAGATTTAGTAACAAGGAATCATCATCAGCAACAATTCTTTGATAGAATAAACCAAGAATTATGTACATGAAATTAATTAATGAACGATCACATACCAGCCACAATGGTATTTCTCCTTGGACAAGCAGCTCTCCTTCCCATCTCTCCTGCCGCACACTCGTCCATGCTACGTGACTCCTGTCGTAACCATCGCCACTCTCTTCTTTTGGGGGTGGATGAGCTATTGCCGGCAATGGTGGACTTGCTACGTTTGTGGACACCAAGCTTCGACCATTGTGCTTTTTTCTGGTATTATTCAAGTTCTTTCTTAAGGGATTAAACCCACCCTTTATATTATTTGAGTTCTCAGAAACGGCAGCTGTTGGCAGCAAAGAGAAGTTTCCAGTAGCGCCTGAAAATGTTATGGAAGCCATGAAAACTATTTCAGAACTAAGCAGCTGTGTATTAAGAGTGGGTTAAAGAGTGTGAGGTCTAATGTCCTTTATATAGAGGAGGGTCGGCAGGGAAAGATTGCAAATAGGGCAAGTTAACTAATTGGAAACAAGTGTCCTGTGCATCCCCATTTGGAATCTTCATTGGTGGAATTCCCCTTCACTAGCTGACATGGCTGTTTTGTATGTATATTTTTTCAAGGAAAACCTAAAATAGAGAAGATGGGCATACCAATATGCTTCCGTTGGTGGTTTTACTAAAGACAACCTTATATTGAATGGGTGCTCTAGTCAACCGAGCTACAAGAGCTTATTACTATGACATATAGCTTACCCTTTTTTATGTTATAATATTTGTGAGAAGTCGATGATGTTTTATAGCAGTTGCAGAAATCAATTATATCTATGAATCCTAGTGCAAGTTTGACATTCACTGATCCTTCTTTTCCCTAACTAACATTTTAACATAATAGCACTATCATTTGTCCAAAAAAAAAAAAAAAAAACAAAAAAAAAAGGTCATATCGTCATGCAAGAAAAGAAACAATATTTTTATTTATTTGAAAAAATTAGCTAGATACCTCCAAATTAATTATTATATCATTTTGTTAAGGGAAATAAATTAAAATTGCACATAAGAAGAACTCACAAATGACAGTACAAATATATAGTAAGAGTAATATTTTTATATTTTATACAATAACTGGTAATTATCAGAAATCACATACGTTACGTGTAATTTGTCTCATATAATCTACATGATTAAATCGACCGTATGGCTAACCTCTTAAATTTTCTTTGTAAGCGACAATTAACAAGAAGTTTTCTTATCTGTCTTGATGTGATGGATTGATAAAATATAATGCTAAGGAGAAAATATGTGTAGACAAAATTTTGTAAATCAAATGATATGAAAGTTGATGATTGAATTATTATATAAACGTTGATTAATATATTTATTTCTTATTAGTGACATATTTAATTTCTAAATAGAATGTACAAATTTAGTTTACCAAACATTACTCAATATCCAAACATCAAGAGGTTTCGAATCCATTTACAACTCACATGGAATCTAAATTTTTTTTATTAAATCTTTTGTCCATTGTGTACTTCGAGAGTGACGTTAAGGAAACCTTCAAGAAATACGTTAAATGTAGTATACAAGTAATGGTATTTCTAGCCTTTTTCATATATCAATTTTATTTTTATACTTATGTGCCATATTTATGCAGCCAATGACCATTATGTTGCTGGACGTGCGTACAAAAGGGGAAGCCGCCATACTAATTCTTTTATTTATGCCTGAATATTTCGTTAGCATCTCAAAATTTATTTAATTTATTTTGTATGTCCATAGCTAACATTGAGACAAATTACACACACGGATATGCTAGAATTTCATAAACATATATTCTGCTTCCTTCTAACAACAAACCTTGGATGGTCACACATAAAGTTAAATCAAACATTATGAAAGTGATAATTTAAGTAAAACTGATAGTGATAATTCATTGATACAAAAAAACACGATTACAACACAATTACAATTACAAGCGTGCCAACTGAGTAGAACTTTTTCAGTTACCAAATCCTGGATTCGGAGAGAATAAGCGTATAAGCAAACTTAATTAATCCCCTATATGGCAACCATGGACATACAAGAACCATCAATATACATTTGCCACAATAGATTAATGGTGGAAAATCCAAAATCTAGGAACACAAAAGCAATCGCTAAGAAGCGAGGCCACACAAAGTGATGGGCGGCACAAACATACACAAAACGCTGCTAAGCCAGAAAAAATTCACCATCAGCTTATATCCACAACGTCGAAGCGGGGCGTGCAGATCTGGAACATCTGCAACGCCACCGGATCTACACCAGCCACGACCTAATCAAGGTGTATTTGTCATATACTTGGTCATGGACAACAATTCAATCATAGATCTTTTCATGGGTCCGCAACCATCACCAATCAATCTAGATTCGTAACAATTATAGTCCTTGGAGGTGGATTGGACTAGAATCTGAAGCAAGGAAGCGGTTTAGCCACTAAAACGTCGGGGGCGCACGACCACTGTGGAAACTAATCGGTAAGAGGGGGCTTCAACCGACCACAAGCATAAGTCCAACTCAATCCCACAAATCTATCTTGAAATGATAATGTGATGGTTTTTGTAATAATAACAAAGATAAGGATCCAAAGGGCACAGATGTAGCCACTTGTCGACATATAAGATAAGTTGTTATAAGGATTGTAATAGGTAGTTATAAGGTTTTTAGAATCTTATCTAGGTTGTTAGCTTTCACTACAAGATTAGAAAACTGTTAAAAACAGTACATGTGTACTCTGTAAAGATTACTCCATCATAAAGGAAGATACAAGCTTTCTCTCTCAAACACTCTCGAGCTCTCTCTCTCTCTTTGTTTTTTGCATATTCTTTCTTCATCTGCATCAATATTTCTTCAATCTTCATATGGTATCATCACCGGGAAATGGTCTGGTGCTTCCGCAAAACTTCTACACTCTGATTTCTTTTTTGAACCCTCTAGTTTGATAAGCATTTGTGACAAATTGGGATTCTTTGAAGTATCAAATAGCCAGAAAATAAGGTGTTCTTCTCTTGCACGCCAACTGCTTAATTAAAGTTCTTAGTGACAAAGATTCATTCTTTTTGCAACAATGGTTACAACTGCTCAAATACAGATTGTACAACCTCCCATTACGAGCCTGATTCCGACTGTTTCTACATCTGTAACAGTCAAGTAGGATGATTCCAGCTGCCTTGCATGAAGTTTTCAGATCATGCTCCTGTTGGAAGGACATGGTATATTGGGTTTCATCGATGGATCAAAGAAATGCCTCTAGAGGTTCATTGATGACTTAAACATCGAAGGAGTAGAAACTGATCTGTATCAAGTCTGAAAAATGCACGATCGTGCCCTGATGCAACTTCTCACAACAACTTTGTCTCCTACTGCAATTTTGTGTATACTTGGAAACACGAGTTCTCATGACATGTGGGTAAATCTCAAGGAACGGTTTTCTACAGTGACCAAAGCTACCATCTTTCAGATGAAAACGGAGCTTCAAAACATTAAGAAAGAGTCTAATTCAATAACTGTGTATCTTTAGAAGATCAAAGATGCAAAAGACCACCTTGCAATAGTTGAAGTCACATTTGAAGATGATGATGTTATCATTCTTGCTCTCAAGGGGCTCTCCGTATAATATAACACATTTTGCCGTGTTATTTGAGGAAGGGACAATGGTATTACTCTTAAAGATTTCAGATCACAATTGCTGAAGAAGCTATTATTAGTCAATTTTTTGAGACTTCCTTGAACTTTGAGACTGTAATGGTTGCATGTGCTTAACCAGATAAAGGGAAAGCGTTGGTTCTTGATAGTCATCCATCTCAATCACAGTTTTTTGCTGGTTTGGATGTTTAAGTCAAGAGTATAATTTAATGGTGGATCAAGTTCTCAGGGGCATAATTCAAGCTATAGGTCAGCTCCAAATTATGAATCATCAAACAATCATCAGGTTAATTCTTACAATTTTGGTGGTTACAAAGGCTCTAACTTCAGAGAAAAAAAGGAAGAGGCAGGTTTCCATACAATAGTGGTCAAAGATCTAATGTTCCCAATTCGAGTTTTGGAATTTTTGGCACTCTAAAACCTTATTAGTATTCATGTCCTGAGCATCCCACTGAGATTCCAACTTGTCAAATCTACAACAAAAGAGGTCATGTTACAACAAATTATTTTCAAAGGTATAACAATTCAACCACTGACATCACATTTCAATGTCAAATTTGTTGGAAGTTTGAACATTTAGTCACTCAATGCTATCACAGAAACAATTTTGCATATCAAGGAAGACCACATCTCCTAATCTCATTGCAATGTATGTTAATCACAATCCAATTGCACCACTTGAGCAATATTGGGTTGCAGATACTGGTGCAACATCTTATATGACATCTGAGCTTGCAAATTTGGACTTGGTTGCAACTTATTAAGGAAATGATATGATAGCCACGGCTAGTGGTGCGGGTTTGAGCATTTCCAATATTGGCACATCAAAATTAGTAACTCCTACACATACTTTCACATTGAGAAATGTATTGCATGCTCCTAGGCTATCACAACATCTGCTATCTATTTATCAACTATGCAAGGACAATTAATGTAGATTCATATGTGATGATATTTCTTTTTGGGTTCAAGACAAAATCACAGGGAAAATTCTTCTCAAGGGACTGTGTAGAGTTGGTCATTATCCTATTCCATTTAATCCTTTATCTTCACAGAAACTGTCACCTGCATCCTCACTTTTACATGCATGTTACCATATAAAACCAATTAGCAAAAGCTTATGGCACAAAAAAACTAGGACATCAATCCAATGATATCACCTCTACAACACTGCAACACACTAAGACTTCTGCATTCACAGATATATGTCCAACTATATGTATACCTTGTATAGAAGGAAAATTTACTAAAATACCATTTTTTTAATCCTCTCAAATAAGTCTGTACATCCTCTAGAAACAATACACAATGATGTACGGGGTCATGCCCCTGTATTGTCATTTGAAGGCTATAAATACTATGTTAGCTTTGTTGATGAATGTAATAGATACACATGGGTTTTCCCAATGAATAATAAATAAGAAGTTTGTGCAATTTTTGTTCAGTTCTATACTTTTCTGTGTACTTAATTTACTACACAATTTCAAAGTGATTGTGGTGGTGAATATACAAGCATAAGGTTTCAAACCTTTCTTACCTCAAAAGGCATTTTACACTAAAAATCTTGCCGATACACTCTAAAACAAAATGGAATGGAAGAGAGAAAACATAGACATATTGTGGAAACTGCCATTACATTACGCCAAAATTGCTGAACTACCATCAAAATTTTGGTTCAATGCTTATGTCACTGCCACATATCTGATTAATAGAATGCCATGTGTTGTTCTTAAAATGGAATGTCCTTATACCTTACTCTTTGGTAAAGTGCCAGATATTACTCATCCCAAAGTTTTTGGATGTGCATGCTATCCATTGCTTAAACCATACATACTACAAAACTTCAACAAAAAACAACTTGCATTTTTCTGGGATATGCAGGAGTTAAAAGCTAAATTTGAGCTTTTATTCCCTCCCCACCACCCCCCCCTAAAAAAAAACCAACCCAAGCTAAATGTGTGGGCTAAAACTTAAAAGCCAAAAGGAAGCCAAATTCCGTCCAAATTTTAGCCCATGATTCGATGTGAGCCCCACCAATTTGAAACCGGGCAGTTTGTGCGCCAAACGCTCCCCACCCACTCGCCAGACGCACGCGACGCACGAGCATTCAGGCCAACTAGGCCCTACCCACGTGGGCATGTCGGCCACATTCCCTAGTCGAGCCAACAACTCTTTTGATCCGACGGATGGAATCAACAGTCAAGGATGGAATCAACAGGCCGTTGGTTGATCCAATAGCCTAGATTCAAATTTTTTTTTTTAGTTTTATATTTATATATTTATTGAATCCAATAGCTAAGATAAAATGTAATCAAATCTAATGGTAAAAAAAAAAAGATCTAACGGCCCAAATTTAAATCCAACGGCTAAAATAATTAAAAAAAAATTATTTAACTC